CCCCCCCGGTTTTTTCTTATTTTTACTATTATTTTCCTTTTTTCCCCTTTTTTTCATTGTTCTGTAATTTTCCCCTTGTTTTATCTTCATTGGTTGAATAGTTCCTGAGAAATCTAATTTTAAAAAAAAAACTCGTTGCTCATCTACTTTGATGTCTGAACAAGGAAATTAGACAAAAGAAAAAAAATTTTATAGTACCTGTAAGTAGCAGATCTCTGTAATTTCTTACACTTCATAAATTTTCATGTTTTATTCATAATAAGATAACCAAATGTTTATTTAAAAGGAATTAAAAAAATTATGAACATTTTATTATAAATCCGAGCTCGCCCTAGCTCAAAGCCGTTTTCCAGTTAACGAACAGGCTCGGGCTGAGCCTCTAATTTAGACTATATATATATATATATATATATAGAGAGAGAGAGAGAGAGAGTATACTTAGTACACTGACATATTATACATGCATACCAATTTTTACTAAAATATTAATTACTTAGATTTGTCATTTGCAATACAAACTGGTGTAATTCTCTCGTTATTTGAATTATATTTGTCTACTCATTTTTTTTCTTCTTTTTGCTGAACACAAACTTCTTCGCTAATTAATCGATTACAAGAGTAAAATAATACTTGACAAACAACCTTGCTCTGAAAAAAGAACGTGTTCATCACCCGTATTGTTTGCCTTTTCCTACACTTCACTTAAATATTGAGTAATGAGTAACATAACTCGTGGTAGAATGAATAATTTCCCCCCAAAAAATGACAAGGTTAGGCGAGTATATAAGCCAATGCGTCGCTCCAAAAAAACTTACGTCGGAAATCGGTGTCCGGGATGACGTTTCCGTGTGACGCTATCTTCCACATCAGGGACAACAAAAAGAAGAGGATTCCGTTTGCAAAAAGTAAACTCCTGTTAATACTTCCGCCCGCACCATTCACTGAGAACTAAAGCGAACAAACCTCCTCAGGTATTTTAGAACTTTTTTTTTTTTCTTCTCCTCTCTGGATGAAACGGGCTATTTCTCCAACAAATTGAGAAGAGCGGATTCTTTTAAAAAAATATCATCTTGGAAGATCTTTACTTACATTTCACTCATGATTGGAGTTGTTAGTTTTCCAGAAGTAAGTTTCTCTTAGTTTTTTGCAGATTTTGTGTAATTACGATTGTTTTTGTAGCGCGATTTGTTTTTCTATTCTTTGTTAGTTGAAGATCTTTTTTTTTAAAATCTATAGTAGTGATTTCCAAAAGGTAAAAACCATGTGGTTGAAAGGTGTACCACGGAACCCTGGGTTACGTTCAAAAAGTGTTCCACGGAACCCTAGGTTCCGTGGAACACTTTTTGAAAAGAAGACCTATTGGGAAAAAGATTAACGCTATTTTATTTAACACTCGAAGCCTTATAATGATAACCTAAGCCTAATAGTATTAGCGAAGCCTAAAAGGGGTTTCGATAGTTAGGATTTTTTTAATGCCAGGAATAAATTTTGAAACCCGCATATTAACATGCGATCGATAAATCATTATTTTTATTCGATTATTTTTATGAAATGAAGATCAAATGCCAGTGGAAAATGAAATAGAAAAGTTCCATTCAAAATTGCAGCCAAAAGTGCGTAATCGCAGCATTTCAATAAATATTTTTTGATTAACACTCTGACGTACATTTTTTTCTCTAATTTTAATTTTTTGTTATTGTCAAGGGTTCTGGTGATATCTATAAAATATTAGTAATTCGATTGGACTAAACACTTTCTGTTTGAGAAACTTTTGAACTGCTCTAGTTTCTTAACTTGAAATTTTTGTTGGCAAATTCGGCTTTTTGAAAATATATAATTACGCCATTTGAGATTAATCTTATGTTTTTTATGATGAATTAAGTTGCAAGTTCTGCAAATAAAATAAAAATAAAACAAATGTCATTAAAAAAAATTAGTGTTCAACTAAGTGATTTGTCCGATGCTGAAATATCCGCACCATTTTTTTTCTTAAATAAAATATTCTTTTTCATGCACACGAAGCTTTTTTTTTCTTAATGAATGATGTAATTTAAGAATATCTCAATGAAAATAATATCACGTTTATTAAAATTCCTATGCTTGGCCTAAAAAAAGATTAAGATAAAAATAAAAATAAATTAAAAAACTGAATATATTAAACTGAATTACCACTCATTTGAGTTTTTTCAGGTGGTTCTCTTGAAAAAAGTCTTGCTAAGGTAGTTTTTTTTTAAATTTACCGTATCAGATCAATAAGTTTTTACTTAAAAAACAAAATTATTGTATATTACTGTTATTTAAACGAAGTCTTCTGAACAATATAGGCAATTATTATTGGTGCTATCTAAGATGTTTTTTTTCTCAGTGTAACATACAATTAAAATTGTTTAAAATAATTTTTCAATGTTTTCAGGGCATTCTTACTGCCCAGAAAATTGGTATGGTTCCCTAATCACTTTTTCAAAAAAAGGAAACATTTTTTTAAACTGTATATTTTTTTTGCTATAATTATTTATTGACTATTTTTCCGTTGTTGTCGAGAAATTTAATTTCTTGTCAGGAGTTCAACCTTGTAACTTCGAATCCAACCCAGATAACAAGAGAACTCCTATATCAAGCATTGGGGTAACCTAGCCTTCGTGGAGGACATTTTGATGTGACTAGCCCGCATTTGCGTTACATGGAGAGGAAAACCACCCACGTAAACCTCTCACGGATATCCCAGCAGTAAAAGAATTATAACACGTGATTCATCTACAACTGAGGATATTTTACGTCATCGTTGTGGTTGGTGCGAGTTGGGAATAGAATTCGTATCAACACGCCAACTCTGGGATTCGAACCTGGGATACCACATTGGTAGTTGAACGCTCGATCCCCTAGGCCATCATGATTCAGTTTATCATCACTTGCTTATGATAAATAATTCCTATCTCTATCAAAATAGATTAATGGTTTAATAATCCCATTAATTGATTAACCCCCTAAATAGATTAATTAATTCCATAATTTATCAGCTCCTATTAAATGCCTTTAAATATTTTTAAAAACTGAATAGTTATTTATAGCATATTTAACGAAAATGAGGTGCAGGCTTTCCAAACTTTAAATTTTAAACCATTTAAGTACAAATTTTTCAAAATTTAAAAACAAGAGCTATCGGCTTTGAAAACTATTGATCTATTTTTCTTTTATTTGATAATATAATACCAAACCAAAGAGAAATAGATCTAAAATATCCTCCCGTTTTTATTTTCTAGTCTCAAGTTATTTCAGTAAGCAAATACCTTTCTTATTTTATTTTACACCGTCGTTGAACAGCCGACCCAATTTTTGGGTTTACGACTACTAATGTTCAACTCCGTAGTCTGGCTATTTTGAACCCAATTCAGAAGACAAAAGAACTCATGGATTAAGCATTGTGAAAAATTTGCCTTCGTGGAGGACTTTTTGATGGAACATTTGCGATACACGGAGAGGAAAACCACGGAAACCTTCCCCAGCTAGCCTGACGGAAAAGGGATTCTAACCCATGATCCGTCCCACTGAGGATACTTTACGTCAGCACTACGGTCAGTGCGGAGTTCATTTCGACCAGTCTTCGCTGGAAATCGAAACCGAGTCACCTCATTGGGAGGCGAGCGCTCTATGCCCTGAGCCACCGTGACGCAAACCTTTCTTATTTGAGAAGTAATTTTTAATTTAAAACAAAAAAGTGCAAATTTGATAGAAAAATCAAAACTGTATGAATTTATTTGTATTTGCTTGTGGCTTCAGCTCTGTTTTTCTTTTATTATAGCAAACTAAAGGTATAACTGGAACAAAAATTTGGAGGAGAATATCGAATATTTCAGCAGCTCACAGAAGGTCAGTTAATATCTCGGATATTGGAAGTATACAACTGAGAAAGGTGAGGTTTAATAAAAATTGTATTAAAAATTATTTTTTGTACCTGAAATTTACGAAATTTCGCTAGGTTTTTAAGATATAATTTTTGTTTCACCGATGAATTCCAAAACGAAAGAATGAAGGAAGCAATATTATATAATCAGTATACTTCTTTCATTGTGTATTCAGTTATTATGCCGGACAATATCAGAATCATAATACCGTGATATAATTCTGATATCGCTCAGGAAATACCAATATTTTACCATATTCATCCCACTTAACTAATGAACATTTTACAAAATATTCAAAAATATTTTCGAAACCCAAATCAGGTTTATTTGCACTCATGATAAAATCGTATCCGATAATTATCGTTATCAAAAATACTTGCTGATTGCACCAATACCTCATAAAAGAGAGAAGACCTCAGCACGGATTAGTATAAACAAGAATTTTGATCCTTTAGTAGTCCAAACTCAATGACATCTTTCATCTAATCCCTCACTACGCAGTGTCGTAGCCAGAGCGAAGTGACAGCTTTTTTTTACAGCTTTGACAGCTTTTTTTTATGTTCGTTACGTCAGACTTGTAAAGTGATCCGTGCCGAGACCTTCTCTCTCTTTGGAGGTGTTGATTGTACTCGAGATTATTTATGTCTCGATAATTATCGTCATTCGATAATTATTGTCGAAACCGTCACAAGGGTTTGCTGGGCTTAGGCAAAACATTTGGCGAGACCCTTTGAATATTCATTTTTTCGGGTTGCCCCAAGGATATATCACTTAGAGCTCCAGATTTTTAACCACATTACTGAATTAGGATTTTTTTTTCCTTATTCAAATTTCATTCCTAAAATTGAACAACTTTTCTTTTTCCAAATTTTTTATTTAATTTTAATTTTATTTTACATATAAATTTACATTAGTAGCCTGAAAAAAGGGGAATTATGTGTTCAAGGGCTCTCACTGAAATAATCATCTAAAAATATTTAAATAAATCATAAGTTTTAATTACAGAATTTTAATTTATACGCCATTTTAAATGAGAAAAATGCTGTTTGTTTGTTTATTTACTTATTTATTTATTTATTCATTCATTCCTAAGACTCGGAGTCTTAGTATTTGGGATCTCTTAGTTTAGGATTCAGAGTCTCCTATAGTCTTAATACTTGAGATTGCTTAGAATCTTAGGATTCAGGATTTTCTAGAGTATTAGTACTTGAGGTCTCTTTGAATCATAGGATTCGGGGTCCTATAGAGTCCTAGGAATACGAGGCCCTTTGCTTTGCTCTGACGACAGCTCTATTTATCATTGTCGGTTATACTCCATATTTATCATAAGATGAGAAAAACACTAAAGGTGTAATAACGTGAAAATGATTTTGAAAATATCATTATCGCGATGTTTAAAAAATATCGATTATATATTGCTCAGCTTTAGAACTCTGTAACGAACTTCTCAGTAAAATGTTAGAAGGTGTTTCCAAATTGCATCACCTGTTTCGCCGAGCTGGCAATGTATTTAAAAATTAATGTAAATTTTTTAATGTAAATTTTTTAATGCAAGTTTTATTTGAGCATTCTATTCTATTATTCCTCGTTAATAAATAATTGTTGAATAACTTTTGTATTATCCATTTCATAAAATAAAAATTACTGATTACAGCGTTGAAAATAACTACTTACAGATTGAATGCAATATTTAGCATTTCATTGTAAAAATGGCGAACTATAAAAAGTGTTTTGTTAAAAGAATTAAAAATATACATTCGGTTTTACTAAAATCGAACTAAACAAATTTTACCTTTACAAAAATTATATTTTTGTTGTCATTTGAAGTAAATCCAAATGTATGAAATTATTCAGTTATTATTTTTTTCTGCGATCATTTTTCCTGTATTTTTATCACGTTTACAAATTTCTTGGTCCTCTACACAAATTCCTGTTTTTTTTCTTTACAATTTTTTATTACTTATCTTTGAATCTCTTAGAATTCCTATGATCTTTATAATTAATTTGCTATTAATACAAATCTTTCTGCATTTTCATGATATTTACACCTTCATGGCCGTTAAAATTATCCTCGTCTATACATATTAATAAACAAACAATTTTGTGCAAATTAAGATCTATCATTTAATCGCTATCTACCCACTCAGATCTATCATTTAATCGCAATCATGTTTTTTTTTCCTTTCAATTTTCCATTTTTTATGAGAAAGGGAAGTGCTTTGCGAAAAAGTGATTCAGCTACATTTGATCAACGTATGTCTGCCGAAAATATTGATACATATCTCGCATGTAAATCATATAAAACATGAATCTATCAGTGACTTAATTGTACAAATTAGGGCCTGTCAAAAGTGCCTTCGTAAACAGGATAAATATTCATTCACTATAAATTATGGTGTCATTTGCTAATAATCCTTTTGCGAGAATTTGTTTTATTCATTTAATTAAGATGTCTAAATTCAAATTGAATAACACCTCACTCAAGGTTACTCGATTTCCCCACTTTTCCCCTGTTGCCAAATCTTACATTTTCCTCATACCAGCATATTCCAACTGAAATGTTCTGGCGTGAATGATAGCGTAGAGGGGGAAAATGTGGTGAGTGAGAAAATTGAGTATCCTTTAGACGCCTATTGTATTTTTTTAAAAATCGAGATTTTGTGAGGCCCTTTAAGTATTAGAGAAATTTTTCATAGTGTTACGGTTTTCTCAACCTCTAGCGTTAACCCAATTTGTCCTTCACAGCGCATGAGCCAAAATTTTCAACAAATCGCAGTGTTGTTAAAGGCTAGAAAAGGTCACTGTTATGGTTAACGTATTACAAAATTTGTACAAAATCTCTCTATTTTCTTTTTCCGGGTCCTTAAGATAAATGATCTCTTAAAATTCCGTTTGATTTATCCCTAATTTAAAACAATCGAGTGTATAGTTTTTTTTAAAATTTTATTTATAAGAACTGACTGTTTAAAATATCTTTTCTTTTGTCATAGTTATTATTTTTCAATTTTTTTTCTTCAAATTTTAAATAATTTTTAAGTTTTTATTAGGCTTAGAGTCTTTAGAAATGAGTAATTTGAGGTTTAAGAATCTTGCTTAGCTCAATCATGTGAAAATTTAGCTTATTTTCTAATTTCATGAGTTTATTTCTATGCTATTAAATCAAATTAGCTGTTCGGAAACACTTTTTAATCGTGAAAAAGAATTGACGAGAATGACTTTCAATTTAGAACGGTACCATGATGGCAGTTATTCTGCATTCTGTATTACGAACCATAATTTTTTTAACTGTACAAAAAATGCATGTTAGACTATAATCGAAATATACCTTTCAGATGGCCATGGAAGTTCTCGAATGGAGCAAAGAGGACATTCGGTTCGTGATGGCCGGCAAGCTTGCCTTCAGTGGGACAATAGACTTCACAAAATCACGTCGAGGTAGAGCCATTAAATTTTCACCAAGCCATGCTTTATTGGCCACGAAAGGAAAACCTAACAGCAATTACAGGCCAGACCAAATACAGGAGACGGGTATACTGTTTCCTCGTAATACAGGCATTGAAGATGCAACTCTACTGCTCATGAAGGAGAAAAATGGCAAATACAGTCTCGCAAGGGTTCGTATCAATCTTACAGTTACTTTTATAGTTACTAATACCGGAAGTATTGTTGCTTCCCATAAGTAACCGGGAATTAGATAAATCATTTAAAAGCAATCTCCTACCTTGTCTTAAAGCTCTTAAGGCCTGAAAGGTAGTCCCGCAGTGTACTGATATCGTAAAGACATGGTTCCCAGTAGAATACCGAAGTCAATCATCACTGGCTGCTGTCAGTAAGCGGGTGGGTGACCACTTTGATCAGCCTGCGTAAAGAGCGAGGTATCGGTCATTGTTAAATTGTTCTACCGTAAAGTCCTCGACTTCGGTCGTTCGGCTACTGAAGTAAGGGAACCATCCCCTCTGCAGAGGATCAAAATTGCGATGGCATGTCTTTGGATCATCCACAGGGATGTTTCCCAGACCATCGCCAATTGTGCAGCTCTAGTGCGACGTACTTTATTTAAAGGACCTACTTTAAACCTGAAAGGCCCATCGTCCTGTTCTGACTAGTGCGATCCCTCTAGTAAAATTCCAACTCAACCAGTTGAATTGGCTTCTCTCATATGTCACTCTAGTTAGTCATGCTGTTTTCGGCTTACCTCTCTTCCTTTTTTCATCTGGTGACCAGAACAATCGATTCTCTCGGTCTCTTTGGCGTGTTTTCTTAATATGTGGCCAATCCAGTGTTATATCTATTGTTAATGGCTTGATACTGGGTTTACAGAACAATTCCACGTTGTTTATTTTGTTCAGTCAGTAAATTTTTGTTATTTTTCTTTGTTTGAAAGGCATCTATTTTGCTTCCCTGCTGCTTCAATGGATTCCTAGTTTCACTGCAGTGTAGTAGAACCGATTTCACAGATACCTTAAATGTTTGCATTTTTAATTTCATGTTTAAACATTTGGATTTCCCTGACTTGAAAAGTATTCCGAAAGTGGTCAGTGCATTTTTTATCCTATTAATGTCCTCGTTTGTACCACCATGATTGCTAAAAATTGCTCTAACGTATGTAAAAGTATTTGTTTCTTCAAAACAAGTACGGTAAATAGATAGAAATGTATGAACTGCTCCATTTTGCTGAGGAAATCAAAACTTCGTTTATTCCAAATTTCAATAGTAGCTACAAAGTTCGCCAACAGATGGCTTTCGGCCTGGTAAAATGATACACAATATTTTCTGCTATATTTCTGTCAGTTTCATCTATATTATTGCATCCTCTGTTCATTTTATTCTTACTTTGTTGCTGTTAACTATGGTTAGTTTGAAAGCTTCATTTAATGGTTTTTCTGAGCCAAAAGCGTCATCTACGGACGAACTTTACAGCTAATTTCGATGTTTTGTGATTAAAAAAAATTACCGTGAAGCTAAAAACACACTTTTATTTGATTTTTCAAAATGTTTGTCATTTCTTGATAGCCACGTCATAATGTACAGTAAAAAAAAAACCGATCACCCTGAATAACTTTTGATCTAATCATTGGCTCTTTACGTTCTAGTACTCAATCTTAATGATTCGAGGGGGTAACCTTCAATTGACTAATAGTTTGTGCAGACGATATTTTAAGTTACGAAATCAGCTACAAAAACGTACTTTTCTAAATAAATATACCTTTTTCTTGATGGATTCGGATTTTTGTCCCACAAAATATGGAGGGTAATCGCAATATGGAAAATCATAATGTGGTAAAACGAGAGGCCAAAATTGGGATCCCTTAATTTCGCCTTATTTGGAGAACATATTAAAGCGAATTGGAAAATTGTGCGCACAATTATAAAACGTTTCTTCAAAGATAATTCCATGGAAAAAATAACTTTTCGTAATTTTTTATTTTTTATTGTTTTTTAATAGCAATTGAAAATATTCCGAATTCTAAGGAATATAATGTTTTAGATCATTTCAAATAATGTAATTTTTCATGGCAAAAGGCAAAATTTGAGTGGAATCGCTTTAATAGTTCCTGATAAATCGAGCTTTAAATATACGACTTTATTAAAATTCAATTTCTCAAGAACTATTCGACTGATTTAATTNAAAAAAAAAACCGATCACCCTGAATAACTTTTGATCTAATCATTGGCTCTTTACGTTCTAGTACTCAATCTTAATGATTCGAGGGGGTAACCTTCAATTGACTAATAGTTTGTGCAGACGATATTTTAAGTTACGAAATCAGCTACAAAAACGTACTTTTCTAAATAAATATACCTTTTTCTTGATGGATTCGGATTTTTGTCCCACAAAATATGGAGGGTAGTCGGAATATGGAAAATATGATCCTCATAATGTGGTAAAAAGACAGGCCAAAATTTGGATCCCTTAATTTCACCTTATTTGGAGAACATATTAAAGCGAATTGAAAAATTTTGCACACAATTATAAAACGTTTCCTCAAAGATAATTCCATGAAAAAAATAGCTTTTTGTAAATATTTATTGTTTTTTAATAACAATTGAAAATATTCTTAATTCTAAGGTATATAATGTTTTATATCATTTTAAATAATGTAATTTTTTATGGCAAAATACAGAATTTGAGTGCATAGTTCCTGATGAATCGAGTTTTAAATATACGACTTTATTAAAATTCAATTTCTCAAGAACTATTCGACAGATTTAATTCTTCAAGTTTTATATTCCGGCTTGCAAAATTACATCCTCTAAAATGTTGTGAAAAATTGAATACCTTAAACAGCATAATTTTTGGACTATTATTAAATAAAAGAATGAAAAATAATAAATATTTACTAAAAGTTATTTTTTGCTTGAAATTATTTTTGGATAAACGAATTTGTAATTGTGTGCAGAAATTTTCTATTCGCTTTAAAAGTTCTCGAGATATGGCTAAATACGTAAAAAGTAAAATGAATAATTAAGGGGTCCAAACTTTGGATTAGTCTTCAGACCAAACTATGAGGACGATATTTCTCTGGTTGCGGCTATAAATATTTTGGGGGTCAAAAATCCGAATCCGTTGAAAGGCATAAGAATGTTTATTCAATCCACTGATTTCGTATCTTAAAATATTGTCTGCACTAATTAATTGGCATATTTGAGGTCACCTCTTGAAGCATTAGGATTGAATCCGAGAACTTGAAGATCAGATCATTAGGTAAAAAGTTACTCAATGTGATCTTTTTTTTCTTCTTGCGTACAGTACAACACTGTTTAGCCACCTGCCCGTAATGGTGTAGAAACAGAAACGAGTTCTGTCGTTAATATATTAAGCAGTTACTATTAATTGTTAAAGATCACCTATTTTTAGATTCCAATAAAACTTTATCAGGTTACTAGTTACATACAATTTTTTGGAGTCCTGAAAAATATAAACTCTGCATTTCGAGTGTGCAGCTATAAAAGAGAGAGACTTTATCTTGATAACAAATATATAGATTTCTACAAAATACCTTAACAGGTGTTGGTAGAAAATTTATGAGCCCATTCCACTTCCTCATGATACCATAATCATGAGTTAAATTTGCATGATTACAATCTATGTCCTCCAATTTCATATCAGACTGATCATTGTTGATAAAACTCATCTCTCTCTCTCTTGCGTTAGTTATTAATTTATCTGTCATTACATATTTAAATTTATATTATAAAATATTTTCTACTTTACGTTATCTGTGTAAATTAATAAGCATAATTAAAACAAAAATATGTAGAACTGTTTGTTGATACTTTGTTTTCTTTTAACCTTTTATTTCTGCCTAACTTATTGCTCAATTTGTATTGCTTTTCGGTCAGAGATTTGTAGCCAGCGTTTATGACTGCTCACTCACTTGATATATCAGTTTTCAATTCCTTGTTGCCAACACGAAAAGAAATTTCATTGGCTTTTTTAACAATGTTTTTGTATGTGTAACATAACATTTTTTATATGACATGCATAAGCATTATTAAATAACATTAATTTTCTTTTAATTTTAAACAGGATCCTCTTCATCTGGGTGTTTGTGTGATAAGTGCTGAGCTTGAAGATGAAGATATCATTGAAATACAAGAATACACAACAAAAGAGTCCATTTTCCTCAAAGTAAAAATGCCTTCTTTACTTGAAACTAATCATGTATTTTCTTCCAATTGATTGTTCCTGAATTGATTGTTCTTGATTCTTCTAATTGATTGTTCCTGAACATTTTTGCAAGGTTTAAAGAGTTTAAACCAGTGCTATTTTAATTTACAATTCAGTTCTATTTTTAAGGAATTAATAATCGTGAGTAAAATAATGCATTTAAAACTGTTATGATATATACTTATAACTTTAATTATTTTAAACCATCGTGTTACGTTTTAGAAGATGTAATTTTCTAAGTAGTCAATTAATGCAAAGTTTAGTAAAGCAATGCATTTTAAACTTTAATTATACTTTCATTTATTTTTAATCTTTCTAAAATATCAGGCTACGTTTAAGAACGCTTAGGTTGCAAAATAATGGATTGTAAATATTAATAATAAATTCTTTTAATTTTAATCTTTTTAAATTATCCAGCTTCTTTTTAGAATACAAGTGTAGTAAAAAAATGTATAGATCGATAAAATAAGATACTTAATACATTCTTTTATTTTCAATGTATCCAAATTATCTAGAATTGGTACATAGTTTTCTGTTAAAAAAACCACTAATAAAGTATCAGAAATTATTGATGTAAAGTGATGAAATATAAAAAATATGGTTTTCTTATAATTTAGTTAAAACATGTAAAAGATATCAAATGTATATTAAAATTTTGTAAAGTTGCTGTTTCAAAATATCGAACTCAGCTTTTATTTATTTTTCAAGTAATTTTCATGCTTTTAACTTTCGCATTACAGTAGTGGTCAAATTATTAGACGCACTGTAAGATTTTATGTAAAATCTTAATTATCAGGTGAAACTATACAGCTTTATTGTTTTTACAAGACTGAAACTGATTTGCACTTGTTTACGTTCGGGTACGAATTTTTTAAATTAGGCGATATATATTATAAATATAGAATATTTATTATATCAGGCATTATATTATTATATTGTAATAATGTGATTAAATTATTAGACGCACTGTAGTGTTTTAATAATTACATGTTTTGCACGAGTTTATATGCAATAATTTTATATTTAAACATACATGTAATGGGTTTTTATTTAGGAGATTTTTTTTATATACATCCTATTTGTATTTATTTTTAACGTATTGCATGACAATGCTAACCAATTGATACACGAACTTAAACAAGCGCAAACCGGTTTTAGTCGGGGGGAAATAATAAAACTGTATAGTATCAGCTGATAATTAAGATTTTACATAGAATCTTATAGTGCGCCTAATAATTTGGCCAGGGACTGTATATCCAGTTCAATTTCCACTTCTGATATTTATATGTTAAAATATTATTTGAGCAATTTTTGTTTAGAAAATATGTTTTAAGAAGTTTGATGTACTAAGATTTGCTCAAAGAAATTTATTGCTGTTTTCACAAATGTACTGTGCGACTCTGCGAAATCAAATTTTATAAAAGTCGTATGTTTAAAATTTGATTTATCAGGAACTGTTCAGCCAATTTTGCCCAAGTTTTGAATTTCGTCATGCAAAATTACATACTTTACAAGTATGCAAAAAATTTTGTTCATTACAATTCAAAATTTTTTAACTGATATTAAATAAAACAATAAAAAATAACTATTTACTAAAAGTTATTTTTTGCTTGGAATTATCTTTGTATAAAGGAATTTTAAAATTGCGTGCGAAATTTTTTTTTATTCGCTTAAAAAGTTCTCGAGATAAGCAAGAAGTAAAATTAACATTAAGGGGTACAAAATCTGGACCGCTTTTCTGACTAAACTATTGTGACCATGTTCCCCAGATTGCTGCCACCCCCTATATTTTTTAGGGGGTCAGAAATCCGAATCGGTCAAGAAAAGGTGTGTTTATTCTGAGAAGGTGCGTTTTTGTGTTTGATTTCGTAACTTAAAGTATCGTCTGCACTTATTAATTAGAATATTTGAGGTCACCCACTCGAGTCATTACGATTGAGTCCTAGAACGTAAAGATCCGATCATTCGATCAAAAGTTATTCAAAAAGTTATTATTATCAGTACGTACTTTTTCGCATTGTATATCAATTCTATTTTCGTGAATAAAAAGTTTTCTGTAGTATCTTTTCCCATTCTTGTGTTAATAGGGAGAGTAGAAAACTATACTTTATATAGTCTTATCATATAGTTTATGACGAATATTGCTTGTGTAGAAGCGTTCTACGGACCAGTTAAGTTTTGCCGTCATGTAATTGAGCAACTTAAAAAAAAATAGATTGTTTTCTGAAAATATATCCTAATGTACTATTATTTGTTATATTGTTGTCACTTAAATCACAAATTTTTGAAAAACTCATTTTTGACTTTACTTTATAACAGTTAATCCAATTATAAGTCGCCTTTAGCTATTTAATAAAACAATTCAATAATAAATAAGGCTTTTTTACGAAAAACATACGATTTACTTAAAAAGTTGGTTTCACTTTAACAGCAAACTAATACTGAAAATATAGAATTTAGCCATTATTTCGCGACCAAAATTTTTCTGCCTTTGCTAAGGATTGCCTATATAGTGCCAGGATATCATAGTGTCAGTTCCATGTGGACTACTTAAACAATATACTTATTGATGTAATAATGTGTATTGCTTTATTAATCCTTCTTAAAACTTTTCACTACAATGATCTATCTGCACTAGAAAGCATTATATGCAATTTCTATAATTAACGTTGAAATTTGAATCAGGATTTTCAGACTGGATTTTAATTTACATTGTACACAACGGTGTTGAAGTTTCCCTGATGAACTGGTTAAAAGTAGATGCTGTTTTAGGTATCAGAAGACAAATTATGATAGAAGTGAGTGTACCATAATTGTAGCGCTCAAATAAAAGATTACACCTTAGTAACTTTAGATCTAATGATCGGATTTTCACGTGCTAGGATTCAATTTGCAAATGATGTTTTAAAATATCAGATACAAAAACGTACTTTCTCTGAATAAATGTACATTTTTTCGACAGAATTAGTTTCTTTACCTTCAAACTCTGGTTGTTGCCGTAATCTGGAAAATTTGGTAATCTGGAAATGTAATTTAGGCAAGAGTGTCATCGAAAGTTTGGATCTTTTAATGTTTATTTAACTTTTTGCGTTTTTTTAATCCGTCGGGGGGGGGGGGGTCTGTTTATTCAGTGAGTAAATGCATTCTTGTGTATGACTTTGTAACTTAAAACATAGTCTGCATTAATTATTTGGCCTATTTAATATTAAGCTCTGGAATTATTAAGATTGTGTCCTAGTACGTGAAAATCCGATCATTAGATCAAAAATTGCTGAGATGTTCCTTTTTTTTATGCGCTGTACATATTTATATCCCATATTCGCTGGACGATATCACTAAAATTAACTTAACAAGCATTGTATTATAAATGTTTATATTGTATTGTATTATAAGTATCGCACGAAAAAAAATTGAAGCTGATACTTAAGGAGTGGATTTTAGTTTTAAATATTTTTGGAAAATAATCCAATTTTAAGTCCCAAAATGTTATTTTCTTAGTATATCCGTTCAGGTTTAGTTTCATTTTCATTCCTAAAAAAATTTATTTTAAGAGAAAAAACAATATTTATTTATAAATGTTTACATAAATGTTTACATATATACATAATACATGTGCGCATCCTGCATTGTATCAAAAACGTGTTTCTCTTTAAATTATAAATAACAGTTTTTTCCTTCTGAATTTTGTTAATGAAAAAAATGTATTATGTGACTATATAATATAACAACTAAATTGATATAAAGATATCGAAAGTAGTATATTAATATACCAAACATAAAAATTTGAAAGGTTTATAAAAAAATTGTTATTGCGTTTGATGCTGATTATTTATTACAGGCTGAATGCAAGACTGACACAATTGAGTGGCTGAAACAATTAAGGTACCACGCGAAAGACCTTGGAGCCTGGAAGAGACGACGAAATGCATTAGCCAACATTATGATTAATGGCATGATACGACAGCAATAACAACTCTCTCATTTATTCATTCCAAGCCTTAGTGTTGTTCTGAAATGGCAAAACAATTAAACCTTATATATATATATATATCAGGCATTANATATATATATTACTTTTAGTGTGATTATTTAATTTTGCATGCTGCCTTTAACATGTGTTTAGAATGTTGGTCAAAAATGAGGTTAAAAAGGTATTCAATTTAATATCTAAGCAGAGGAAAATGCTATCAAAATTTGCCTAATCACTAGTGAGGAAGGTGGTATGAAAAATCAAAATCAGTTTGATTGCTTGTTGAAACTTGAAGTTCTTTCAAATCGTTTTTTTACGGCAATCAAACAGGTTTGATGTTTTCAGTCTTACCTTCCTCTTAAGAATTCCTTACCTTCCTCTTCGAACAAACAAAAACGCTATCGAAATCTTACAAAGCATTACTGAGGAAAGTAAGACTGAAAACATTCAGACCTGTTTGATTGCAAACAAAAAGAGAGTCTTTCGAAAATGGTGTATTTTCGAAAGACCCTCTTTAGAAAGATATCAACTCCAAGTTTCAACAGGCTATCAAACTATTTTCTTTGCTTTTCATGCCATCTTTCTCGCTATTAATTTGGAAAATATCGATGGCATTTTCCTCTTCTTCAATATTAATTTGCAATTCCTAATTTGTATGATTTTTATTACTGCATTTTTGATAAATATTCTAAAAATACATGTTAGGAATTCGTTATTTGGCTCAACATATAAATATTCTGACATTTATGACTTCTGCTATTTCGTAATTTTAATACAAGCTTAATATTATTTATTTATAATCTTTATTTTAAACAAATAAAAAAAAATATCTGGTATAATTAATAAATATTAATTGCTGAGTTATTCAATAAATAATTGCTTGTTCCCTAAAAAATATTTCATAATTAATATTTAAAAATGTTTTGCCATTTAAAACAATCCATTATGTCATTTATCATTTGTAGATATCTCATTGAAATTGTTGTTTCTATTCCCTCTGTGAGGAATTTTGTATAACTAAGTTTAATAGAATGTGCAATCTAACCACATGAATGAGAAAAAAAAACAACTTAAACTAGCAAATAATTTAGTTTAATCTTGTTTAAATTAATTATCACTTCAGTTATGCTTTTGTTAATATTTCTACATAACGACATTGTAGGTTGTGGGATTGTAAATTTATAAAATGGTCATTCACATGTTTCAATTCCCGTCCTGTCAAAGGTGATTTATGAAGTATCTTTGGCATCTAGATGTTATTATTTTTTTTTCAGTTGTCGCATTTGTACATTTATTATTATTTCAATGATGTTGAATTGAGACATGTGAAAGAACCATGTCTTAAAAAAAATTTTCGAATTGAAGATGTCACGACTCATGTCGTATCTAGTCTGTGATTTTTATTGGCGAAATTTTCTGAACACATGATGTTTGGCGACTTTACTTGGAGCATTTAAAATTGAATAAAATCTGCTAACTATTATGCGCTTATGTATTATTATTTTTACAGTAGTTTTTCAATTTTGTTTATCACATATTTGCAAATATTTTAATGTTTGATGCTATTAGGGGAACTGGAAAGTAATGTCATCTCAACGCATTAAATATTCGTTAGCCTTAAAATCCAATTCATTTTTTTTAATCCATTTCTATTCATTTTCGATCTGGCATTGAAATATTGTTGCTAACGAGGATGAATACATTATTTATTAAAAATAAAATCTTGATAGCAATTATCAAGTGCACCAAAACTACATTACTTTCTGGTCCCCCTAATATTTGCATATTAAATATATCAAAATAAAACGCATTTTAATTTTGAAAAATTATTTACATATTTCTGCAGTTTAAAAGTGTGAGAAAATTGTTACATGCTTTTATACATTTCAATCCACCGAGAAAATATAAATGAAATACGGCAAAGTTATTCAAAATGATACGAGTTAACCTCTTAATGTGGAATAGACACCGATTTCAATTTTTTTAAATATATTTTCTTCTAATTCTCTAATTACAAGCAAAAATGTATTTTAATATTTTTAATTATAAAACAAAAACAGTCTAATAGGTACTAAAAAATTTGGTAGGCTATCGGAATTACATTTGCACAAAAATATAAAATCCAAATAAAAAAAATAGTTTGAAAACAAATTCATTCACATTCAAATTGATTTGAATGTGAATGAATTTGTTTTCAAACATTGAAAACAAGTTCATTCAATTCATTGATTTTGTAAAATAAAGAAATTTCAATCATGTTTCTCTATTAAATCTAAATAGCTGCAAATTTGAAAAAAATTTTGAAAGATTTTACCTTTAACGCAGAAAGAGACTCAGGTGTTTCACCCTGTATTTCATTACCAAAAATAATTAAAAGGATGAAGATTATATTTTTCACTTATTTTAACCTAAATTAATACAAAATAATAATTAAAAAAAACTATGAAAAATATGCTTAAAAAAACTTTTACGTCAAAAGGTTAATGCTTAAATACTTTTGCAAAAAAAAAAATACACCCTGAAAAAGTTTGATTTAAAAATCTAATTTTCACTTACTAAAAATGCAGTTTTTCAACAATCAAAATGTGGTAAGGGTTACCCTAATCTCTGAAGCATTGTATCTTCATTGTATCTGTTCTACTTTTTGGTTGTTTCGTTGCATTTATAAAACTCATTAAGTTAATAAATAAATCTTTTTGCTCGTAAGTATAAAATTTCTGTAACTGGAAACAATTTGTGAAAAAAAAAATTTATAAATATTTGTTTTTTATTTTACTAAAATAAAATTGAATACGATTATTAAATAGTATTTTAATTACAAAACCTATTAAACAGTGGACAGTTGATTAAGACACGATTCTCAGTATCAATTGGAAGTCAAGCATCATTGGCTTCATTTAGTGGGTGGCATCACTTTGATCAGCCTGCAAAGGGACCGAGGATGTGCAGAATCGCCCCGTGAAACTGTTTTACTGTAAAGTGCTCCACTTCACACGCAGGTCGTTATACCAAAGCGGGGGAGCAATCCTCTCCGCAGAGGATCAAAATTGTGATGGCATGTCTTCGGATCATCTTTAGGGATTTCTAGACCTAGCTAGTTTCCTAGACCGTCTTCAATAGCCCATTATGAAGCTCTAGTATGACGTAGATAAACTACTACTATTACTAATCTAATAATTGAATGAAATCGCTTCAATATTTTCTGTATCTTCTTAAATACGAATTTTCATATCTCGAAAACTTTCCGACCGATTACGTTAAAAACTTCATATTTTATCTTTAACGTTACATAATTTACGATTAAAAAAAACGTGAATACCTTATTATTCAAATTCTTTATCATTGTTGAATTTCATACTAAAAGTAATATGAACATTCTCTTTTGATTGCAATTATTTTTGAGGAAACTAGTTTTATAATTTTGTAAAATTTCTGCTTACGATTTGCTTGAATAGTTTCAGAAATTGTGTCAAAAAGAACTATTAGTAAAATATTTACAAAAGAGCATATAAATATATATCATATAGCCTTCTTTGCTATATTTAGCTAAATATTGGCCCTTTTGGGCCCTATATTTTGCTATATTTCAGTTTTTAAGTATTTCTAAGAGATTGACATAACACTTACAAAATCTATAAAACCTTCTTACGGATTAAAAAGATTGTTGTTTTTTAAATCCAAAAACGTAATCTGCCACCTCATAAAAATGAAGTTTTTGATTAAAAAAAGTATAAAAATCGTTTGCAAATCAGAAAATAAAAATTCGTCTGCCAATCTTAATTAATGAAATTGTCTGCTAACTGTAAATATAAATGCATCCTAGTGTAAAGAGAATAAAAAGTAAAAGATGATTTGTATTAGAAATTTTACTTATTTATTACTTTAATTATTTCAAGTTTAAAAAAATTTTTTTGGCAACCTTGGCTTCACAATAGAAATTTTTATCTTGTTATTAGAGAACTGTATCGCCAAAGCTGAAGGAGAAGCCTTTGAAAATCCCCTTTTTACTTTTTAACTAGAATTTATTTTTCGTTGTTGAACATTTTTTCTGAAATTAAAAAGCCATACAGAAACTTCTCAATCATAAATAAAGGTAATTTTCTTATCATGCTTGTTATTTATCAATTATTGTACCTTTAAAAAAAATTACTGGTGTTTTATATACTAAAATTACTTTTTCTAAAATTATAATTTATTTTTTATTCTAAAGAAACATGAAATTTTTTACATACAAATTGATTTTAGTCTATACAAATTTTTAGATTAAATGATGTACCTTTTTCGATCAGTACAAAACGGTTTATTATTTTCAGGTTTATAAGTATTGTCTCTTGTTATATTTCACTTTAAAATACAATTGTGAGCCATTGTTTTGATTTCGAGTCATACAATTACATTGGGTGTTTAGTTAATTAGCATTAAATCTGAAACATGGCAGTTTCTTTCATAGAATAATTACCTTGGTTATACATAAATTCCTTGATGAACAATGTGCAAATTTTTTCGTAATTTTATGTTTTATGTTATAACCGGCATTGAACAGCCGGTCCAACTCTGAGTTTACGACTATCAATGTTCAACTCCGTATCCTTGTAAGTGTGAATCTACCCCAGAAGACATAAGCATTGAGACAAACTAACCTTCGTTGAGGTCTTTATTATGGAACCAAACTGCATTTACGTTATAGCATGAGGAAAAACACGAAAATTACCCATGGCTTGCCTGGCGTCAAGTGGATTGTAATCCATGATTTGTGTAGTATTTTAGTTTAGGTTCACTCTTTACAACTCATCAAACTCACTTGATTCAAGGGAAGGGGGGAACTCTACAACATGGAACCAAAACTCTACAACATGAACTACCGTAATAGAGGAGACACTAGTCACGTTTTCGCCTCCTTACCAGGAAATTTTTTAATTTTTGATTCAGTACTTCGACTGATATTATTTTTTTCTTCAATGTTTCAGTACATGTAATTGAAAAGTTCTTTAATATGTACTTGTTGCGTGACACCAAAATACAAGTCATGTGCCATAGGTTTACCATCTACGGCTTAGAGATTTAAGCAAATATAC